AAGGGCCCCAGTAGGCCCCAACGATGAGAGTTCCTGTCTGACCTCTCCAGTCACACCAAGCGATGAACTCCCCAGTCGGACCCTTCCCACGTGCAAACAGCATTCAGTGTCAGCCCTCCTTCCCCTCAAGGCTCACCTGATAGACCTGGTCATTCCTCAATAGAGCTTGTGTGTCGGCAGCTAGAAGAACCAGAGAGAGACATCAACGGCCTAGCAGATGGGACACTGAGATCCACCCTCCCACACCCTCAGAAGTCTGCATGAGTGATAGGAACACACAAGTTCTCTCAACAGTCAAAGTTCTAGGAGTCTTTAGGAGATTGCAAGAGTAACTCCCAGCTGAGACTAAACCTACCACCAGCCCCATTCCTTAGCTGGTGCATAAGCTCACTGGTACACACACACACACACACACACACACACACACACACACACATGCTCAGCTCTTCCACTAACCCCCAGAGAGCCTTCCAGTCTCATGTCCAGCAAAGCAGAAGACTCCCAAAGCAAGGAGCAGAGTGGCAATGACATCAGTGACAATGATGCCAGCCAGAGTGGCTGGATCCAGCTCCACACAGTTCTGGCACACTGTGGGGGAAGGGAGGAGAGAGGAGAGGTTGAGAGCCTTTAAGATCAGGGAACCATCTCTGCCTCCCAGGGCAACCCTTAGATCTCTTATGCCAAAACCCAAACTTCAATAAGACTCTGGGAGAAAGGCCTGGTGATGGCCTTGCCACACCTTCCTCCACCCTGCATCCCAAGGAATCCCTGAGAAGAGCCAAGAAGCAATCTCAGCTTTGTGGGGGACCTTGAACAAGGTGGTGGGCCAAACCTCTCACCCAACCGAGGCTGCACTAACATGACCCCTACTGCTCTGTCTTGCTGAGTTAAGCTCTCTCTTCCACTTTGAAGGTCCCCAGATCTGGCTCGTACCATTACAAGAGTGGCCTCACTTTGTTTAGAGAACAGATGGGATCACCACATCCCTCTCTAGCCAGAAAGTTCTCACGTCCAGAAGCCCCATCCATTCCAACCCAAAAGGTTCAGGAAGCACATACTTCGATAATGAACTTGCACAGTAGATTCTTTGTCCTTGTATATATCTGTCCCATTACACCTATATATTCCTCGTGGGTCCAGGATGCGTTTTCCCAGGTCCAGTCTTGTATTATTTGTGAGCAGTGTTCCCACCGTTCCCTCTACCCATGTGATGCTGGTATTGCATTTCACAAACACTCTGTCCTCAAGTTCCTCTACAGGTATCTCGAAGGGGCTCACTAAAGGGGAAAAAATATCACAATTGGAGACAGCTCTTTGGTCTGCACCAAGCCCTTTGTTCTGCAGAAGCTCATACTTAACAGAGACCATTTTCCTGGTCCAGGAGGGTTTATGGTTTCTATCAAGAGAGACAGAAGTCACAAGAAAAAGCCTTCAGAAAGTTTCCCACCAACTTCAGGGGTCAAGGGGGACATGAGGATGCCATTCAAGCAGAGGACAGGTCTTGGGGCCTTGGTGCAAAAGAGGACCCCTCAGAGCAGGATTGATCCAAGCACTTTCCTGGAAATGAATCCAGACCACTGATGAGAAGTAGGGGGAGCACGGACCACTGAAGCACCCGGAAGATATGGAAAGGCAGAAGAACATTCCTTGGTTGGAAATGTCTGCATTTTTTCTTCAAGAAAACATCTAATACTACTTTCCAGCCATCTACAACACTCCCACTTCAGCTTCTTGTTCTCATCGTTCCTCACTGCCCCTGCTCCATTAACAAACAAGAAAGTGGGGCTCTCAATACTGAAGGCTTTCCCAGGGTCAGGGATGGCTGTGGATGGAGACCAGCTGGTTTACCAGTTCCTGAATTATCAGCTCAGTGGTCCAGAAGGGAACCAGGGCAAATCCCAGGTACAGTTTTCCACCCTTGGTTAGAAGGAGGAGAACAGGAAAAAAAAATCTTGAATCCATCCCTAGAGCTCCTCACAAGTCAAGTCTTGTGGGAGACTTTTAGGGCTGGAGGTGGGTGCAGCAACATTCCAGATGCAGTGAGTTCCTTTGAAAGCCTGAGCACATCTCCACAGGCCACAGAGGCACTACAGTCTATGCCTCCAAACACAGGGAAAAGTGGAGTCTACATTCATTCGTCCTGGGCTTCACACTCAGTCACAAATTTGGATACAAGAGCATCTTCTAGAAAACCCTGAAATAGCTGCTGCTCACACTTCTGAAGCAGGTTGGAAGTGTATGCATGTATACTCAGGGAGACACAAGCACATCAAATGTTTCACATCCTACAGTCACGTGCTCTTCAGGGATCTGTCTCCAGTGGAAATCCTGAGTGTCCTAGTGCAGTCGACTATCAGGTGACTATTGGACCCAGTTTGCTTAGCATTGAAGGGGTTTCTGGGACATGGGACTTTCCATTTTAAAACTGAAATTGGCAAACTGAGATGAGTTAAAATCCTCCCATGTAACAACCCCTCAAATCTTCCCTCCCTCCTGCTCAACCTGAAGTTAACTTCTCTCTTAAAGCAGTCCCATGAGTGCTAGGACATGCCTCCAGGGGTGACATAATCATGGCCAAATGAACAAAAGTCCTGATTCCAGAGGCCATCAGCCCTAAAAGGAGTAGTGCAGGAAGTTGTGCTCCCATGGCCAGTCCCAGATTCAGGTACATACATACTGAGCTATTTCCTACAGATCTCTGGCCTAAGGCCTTCTGAGAGACATTCTAGGCCCACATGTACCCGTGGCTGGAGTCAGTCAAAGCCAAGAGCCTGTTTCCCAGACTCTATGCTACATCCTGGCCCTGCTCTCCTGACACCCTGGGGTGCCTGGTGAATTGAAGCTAGCACCAAGAAGCACTTTTTTTTTTTTTTTGAGATAAGGTCTCGTGGGGTTGCCCAAGTTGGAGGGCAGTGGCATGATCACATCTCACTGAAGCCTTGAAATCCCAGACTCAAGTGACCCTCCTGCGTCAGCCTCTCAAGTAGCTGGGACTACAGCTGTGCACCACCACGCCTGGCTCATTCTTTTGTTTTTTGTAAAGATAGAGTCTCATCATGTTGCTCAGACTGGTCTCAAACTCCTGGCCTCAAGGGATCCTCCCACTTCAGCCTCCCAAAGCTCTGGGATTACTGGTGTGAGCCACCGTGCCTGACAAGAAACACTTTCAAGTGGGCCTCACTCCCAACAGTAATGTCCCTCTCAGGTCCCTTCCCCCACCCACCTGGAGTAGCTTTACCTTGGGAGAGAAGGGTAGCCAGTACCAGTCCAGACAGAAACATGCTATGTTCCATCTCCCAGCAGAACTCATCCAGTAGATAAAGCCAGGTCACCGAACTATCAGCCTGGGTGAGAGCTGCCCTCCCCCAGCTGACTCACAGGTACCGGAAAGAGGAGAGTGGGGGAGGAACTAGAAGATGTCTGCTTCTCTGCTTTCTGCCGTTGATGATGGGAAATTGTTAGGGTGGGGGTGGGCTAGGGGTAGGGTAGGAAGGAAGCAGGTGTAAATTGCTCTATCTCTGAGCAGGGAGCTGGTAGAGAACATGGAAAAGGTGGCATGAACTTTAGCGTCCCTATTGACAATGCAACTACATTTACGCACCACCTAAAAACCACCACATCTCGAAGCCCCTTGAGAGAAGCCATCGGTCCCATAGCGCAAGCCGTAGCAGCTATACTTCTCATGGAGGTTGATCTTTCTCAGGACCCTTCACTAGGCAGCCAGGGACACCAGCTCTAGCAGCTTCTTGTCAGTGGGAGGCTGGGCTTTAGGGACCCCAGCCAGAGATTTGAATCCTGGGTCCAATACTGCCTACCTGTGGGGCCTGGGCCAGCCATGAAATTTTTCAGAGTCTTATTCCATTAGCACCGTTATAAGGATTCAAACAAGATGTTTGCACGGTGCCTCACACATCATATGTGCTCAATAAGGGGTAGTTATTAATAATAATATAGTTGACTCACAGGCAATATTGAGCCTCCCGGGGAGACAAATGGACCTTTTTCCCCTGTGGCCTACGAGGATCTGAAACTCTTCACACTGCTGCAGTTAGACTGTCACTTACCTGGGAACAGAGTCATGCCCGTCTTTCTCACTGCTGTATCTTGTGCCTGGCACATAATGGGAGTTCTGCACATTTTTGTTGGCTCACTGACTGACTAGCTGAGGGAGACAGGGGCCTGAGATCCTAGACATTCAGTCCGGGCTCTGGCCCCTGAAAATGTGCTGGCCTGTCCTCAGAATTGTTCCACCTATTCCCTTCCAGGTGCCTATTTCATGATCTCAAAAGAACAGTGAAGCCAGGTGCCATGTCTCACGCCTATAATCCCAACACTTTGGGAGGCTGAGGCAGGTGGATCACAAGGTCAGGAGTTTGAAACCAGCCTGACCAACATGGTGAAACCCCGTCTCTACTAAAAATACAAAAATTTGGTGGTGCGTGCTTGTAATCCCAGCTACTCAGGAGGCTGAGGCAGCAGAATCGCTTGAACCCAGGAGGCGGAGGTTGCAGTGAGCTGAGACAGTGCCACTGCACTCCAGCCTGAGCAACAAAGTGAGACTCTGTCTTAAAAAAGAAAAAAAAAAAAAGTGAAAAAAATTCCCGAATGACAGTCCAGCTGCCTGGACTGAGGTGGCTTTCCATTTGGAGGTCCGGCCCCAAGCAGCTGAGAGTTCCTCCAAATTCATTACCTATAGCAATAACAACTAACAACGAGTAACAACTGGCTACAATCCTAACAACTAATGACAGGGACACTTATCCCCCTCATGAAGAAATGGTCCCAGTACCATCTCCCACCCAGCATCCATTGCAGTTCCCTGTGCAAGATGAGTCTCTGAGTGGGAATCCAGTACTCTCTCCCTCTCCTTCCCCACCACCTCCACCCTCCTTAACGGAAAAATAAAAGGCATCTGCACCTGCAGCCCTGCTGAGGCCCCTGCTACCCACACTTGCAGCAGAGGGTGGAGGCTCTGGGTTCTTGCCTTCTCTCAAGGGCCCCAGCCCGAACAGGGATGGGCGGAGCCAGTCTAGCTGCTGCACAGGCTGGCTGGCTGCTAAGGGCTGCTCCGTGCTTTTGCCAGAGGACAGAGACTGACATGGAACAGGGGAAGGGCCTGACTGGCTTCACCCTGGCTATCATTCTTCTTCAAGGTAAGGGCCTACTAGGGGTCTGGCAGCCCGGGGAAGGGCTCAAGGGAAGAGCCCATCACTAGTGAGACAGGAATATTGGGATCCCTAACCTTGAGCCTACCTCTGCTGTCACCTTAGAGTTCAAAGAAGGGCAAAATGGAGCCTCTTAACTGTTCTCTGCTAGAGAGAAGCAGTGTCCCATGGAGGAGAAGGAATCCTTGTCTCTGAAAAATGCAGAGTACTTCACTGGCTAAAGAGAGGACCCTGTTACCGCCATCTTAGATTTGAACGCAGCCCAAAAGGGCATAGGCCAGGAAACTAAAAGGAAAAAGTATATGTTCCCTACTTCAGAGCTGGGGGTTAGCAGTCGACCTATGAAATGTCCATTCACTCAGTTGGGCAGTTAGCCAACTGGTCAACAAAGATGGGTGAGATCCTAATATGTGATATGCCATGAGGAAATAAAAATGAATAAAACACTTATGCTCTACAGAGCTCACAGTCTCATTGGAGAGATTAGTCTTCATGGTGCCAGACTGAGTGTATGGTACAGCATAGGTGCCTGCATGAATACTCCGTTGGAAATATCCAACAGGAAGTGAATGAACTGGGTTGATGCCTGGAGTCTAGACATACTGGGAAAGTTAAAACCATGGAATTTGCTGAAGTCACATAAGTACTATATGAGGAAGATGGGGCTGAAGATGGAACAGTGCGGGCACCAATTTTAAGGGGCAGTTAGAGAAAAAAAAATTCCAGGAAAGAGATAAAAAGAGAATCAAAGAGCTGAAATAATCAAATGTATGCACTACCTTGGAAACCAAGGGAGTAGAGAGCTTCTAGAAGGAGAGAATTACCAAGAGTATAAAATGTTAAAGAGAGCCCACTAATATAAGAATATATTTAAAAGTTTAAGTCTGTGGGATGTGGCAGAATATGCATCATGGGTGATTTAGCACAGTTTCAGTGGGGTATTGAGAGTGGAAGCTAAGTGAAAATTGGTAGAAGGTGAAGGTCAGGTGATGAGGTCAGCAAGTGAAGACTATTCTTTAAAGAAATTTGGATGAGGAGGGAGAAAAGACTGGGTGGTAGGTCGAGGAGGAAGTAGAGTCTAAGAATAAATGTTTCTGAGGGTGAGAGAAACTTGAGCACATTTCTAAGCTAAAGGAGAAGATGATGAGTAGAGCAGGGTCCTGGAGTTGATGGTGGAAGGACAAAGTCAAGAGTGGGGTCAAGAGCACAGAGGGGAAGGCAACGTTACCCTCTAAGACCGGGAGAAAATAAGTGCAAACGGCGCTGGCCACATATAGGTTTATAAAGGGAAAGGAAGCTAAAGGAGAAAGGACAATAACAGCTTCCATGTTCTAAAAAAATCCAGGTGGGAGGCAATGCCACCTGCAGAAACTGAGCTGGGTGATGGCCGGTTGGGAGACTTAAAGAGGACAGTGAGAGTTTAGAATAGAATTATTTCTGAGAGAAATGGGAGGAAAAGTCAGCTAAAGACAACACAGGTTGAGGAGCAACTCTCAAGCCTAGGTGAGGTGGCTGCATATCGTGGAAAGAGCATAGAGTTGAGCAGTAGAAAACCTGAGCTCTGGATCCAGCTTGGACACATAATGAGCTATGTGTACTTGAACAACTCCTCCACTGTCTGGGAGTTCTCATGTCAGCCAATCCAGAAATGTGGCAGGGATGGGCGTGGTGGCTCACGCCTGTAATCCCAGCACTTTGGGAGGTCGAGGCGGGTGGATGACCTGAGGTCAGGAGTTCGAGACCATCCTGGTCAACATGGTAAAACCCCATCTCTACTAAAAATATTTTTTAAATTAGCTGGGCGTGGTGGTGGGCGCCTGTAATCCCAGCTACTCAGGAGGCTGAGGCAAGAGAATTGCTTGAACCCAGGAGATGGAGGTTGCAGTGATCCAACATGGTGCCCACTGCACTCCAGCTTCTGCGACAGAGTGAGACTCCGTCTCAAAAAACAAACAAACAAACAAACAAACAAAAAAAGAAATGTGGCTACATGACGTCTTAAGTCCTAAAAGGAAATCTCACTCAGATATGCAACATTAAAAGATGTCAATGGGCCAGGCACAGTGGCTCAAGGCTACAATCCCAACACTTTGGGAGGCCAGGGAGGGAGGATCATTTGAGCCCAGGAGTTTAAGACCAACCTGGGCAAAATAGGGATACCCTGTGTCTACAAAAACTACAAAAATTAGCCAGGCATGGTGGCATGCACTTATGCCAGCTACTTGGGAAGCTGAAGTGGGAGGATTGCTTGAGCCCAGGAGGTCGAGGCTGCAGTGAGTCATGATCGCACCACTGCACTTCAGCCTGAGTGACAGAGAAAGAAAAAAAAAAAAAAAAGATGTCTCGAAAAAAAATTTTAAAACTATGTCAACGATCAGTGCAATCTCCTTTCCCGAATCCAATTTAGAATGAGGGGTCTCTGTTTTCTCTCAGTCTTCTGACCAGGTGGTCAGGAGAATAACTAGTTAGAAACTTATTTATCTGTTTGTCTTGCTTTTTCTCCCATTTGCTCATTTATTCATTTGCACATTCATTCAACAAATAAAGTTCCTACCATGTTCCAGGCACTGCACTGGATACTGTTCAAAGATAATCCAGCCCTGCATGAGGTTCTAAGATGGTTCACTTCTTTCTTTTCCATTTTACTTTGACTCATAACCACCTCTCCCTATCACACACACTCCACCTCTAGCCACACTACCTCTCTTGTCCTTTTTCAAAGCTGTATCTTATTCAGCTATTCTTTCTACTCAGAATGCCTTTCTCTGTCTGGTACATTCCTGCTTACTCTTCAGGGCCCAGACAAATGTCATTTCCTCTATTAAGCTTTCCCTGACCCTCACCCTTGGTCAAAATTAATAGCTTCTACCCTTTTTTCATATGCAGTCATATAAGCACTAAAAGATAATGTATATGTTCTATTAAATTAATTGCATATGTGTTTTAATTTTTTTCACTTCGTCATAAACTTTGGAAGCAGCAGTTGATTCTTCATATCAGCACTCTTTTTTTTTCATAATATCTAATTATTTTAGGTCATAATAGTGCTCATTAAATGTTTGGATTAAATCTAATTGAATTGAATCCGAGTGCCAGATCTCTGTAGTATGTCTACCATGCAACTCTACTACCCTAAGGTTTGTTTGTTTGTTTGTTTTTGTTTTTTTGAGACAAAGTCTTGCTTTGACACCTAGGCTGGAGTGCAGTGGTGCAATCTCGGCTCACTGCAACCTCCACCTCCCAGGCTCAACTGTTCCTTCCACTTTAGCCTCCTGAGTAGCTGGGACTACAGGTGCATACCACCATGCCCGGCTAATGTTTTTGTATTTTTTTGTAGAGACAGGGTTTCACCATGTTGCCCAGGCTGGTCTCTAACTCCTAGGCTCAAGCAATCTGCCCACCTCAGTGTCCCAAAGTGCTGGGATTACAGGCGTGAGCCGCTGCTCCCAGTCAACTCTGAGTTTTGAGACAGATTTGAGGACTAATTGAATAGCTAATTTCCCTGGGACATCCAGGGTTTCTACAAGAAAAGGATCACCAAGGCTGAAGATTTTATAAGGAACTCAGCCTAAAGGCTTTGGATAGTGCACACCCACTCCTTGCCAGGGCATTAGCTGCTCAAAGAGCAGAGTGTTCTCGACTGGATAGGCAATATCCTTACTTACATACACTACAATACAATTCTGATGCTAACCCCCCAAATTAGTATCAGACCCTACAGGTTAAGAGCATGGTTCCCAACCAGATTGCCCTCACTTTAAATGCCAGCTACAAGTTCAGGGGACCCCAGACCACTCACACTTCTGACAAACTGCCTACAATCTTAAGGATTCCCATGACTCTTCTCATTGATAATTTGCTAGAATAACTCACAGAACTTAAGAAAGTGCTGTGCTTCCTAGTTCAGTTTTATTAAAAAATAAAATCAGAACCAGCTAAATGAAAAGGGCAAGGTCCAGGAGGGTCCTGAACACAGAGCCTCCATGCTTTCTTCCCATGGAATTAGAACACATCACCCCCAGCACTCTCCCACACTCTGCCAGCACATTGATGGGTTCACCAACCAGGAAGCTCCATCAAGTTTTTATTGAGGTATCTTTACATAGGCATGATTGATTGAATCATTGACCACTTGACTGATCTCAATCTCTAGGTTCCCTTCCTGGGGCTAATACCACTAGTTTCCAAGCTGCAATCCTCTTACCATATGGTTCGTCTTGACCAGCACCATCCTGAGTCATTGCCATGGCATAAACTCAGGTATGGTCTAAGGGTCCACCACAGATAACAAAGCCACTCCTGTCACTCATGAAATTCCAAGGGTTAGAAACACCCTCCCAGGATACCAGGACAAAGATGAGACAAATTATTTATTATCACCTTGAATTCAGTTGGGTGATCTAGTCTACAATCCAGATAACTAAGTATAGATACTATCATTTTCATGGATTTGGATCTTTCTTCATGTTGGCCTTAAATAACCATGGAAATACTTCAGGGCATCTGAACAACTCCATGCCCAGCTAATACTCTGTCTCTCTTCTGTCTTTACAGGTAGTTTGGCCCAATCATTTGAAGGTAGGAGAAATGGCTTCTTTCTATACTCAGACTCAGAATATTGATGGAAATTTGGCTTCCTACAAGAGTAGTCCTACATGAGCGAACAGTTTAGAATGAATGAAAGGATGAGGATAGATAGGTGATGTCACTATTGTCAACCAAATCAGTGACCTGACATAACCTGCTCTGGGCAGCTTGCCTGTAGCTAAGCATTTAGCTGGTCTCTTACAGGAGAAACAGGACCCTAGTAGCTAGACACGTCTCAAACTGTGACCCATGAACCATCAGGTTTTGGCGTCACCTGGGATCCTGACCTCAGTCTCTGTCAATCCTTCTCTTTATTTCATCTATTCTACCCAAAGTGATCTCATCATCTTGTACGCTGTTAGCAGTTTCTTACCTGTATAGTACCTTCCAAATAACATGCCCCCAAATCCCAAAGTTTTACCCCTGCTAATTACAGCAATATCTCTTTTATTCTTCATCCCCTGACGCAGATATTGGCGTCACCTAAGAGCATGTTAGTAATGCAGAATCTCCCCTCCCCAGAACTACTAAATAGCACCTGAAATTTTAACAAGATCCCCATGTGATTCATGTGCACATCGAAGTTTGTGAAACGCTACTCTAATGATCTCCCGGTATGCAGAAGCAGGGAGAATTTCAGAGGCAAGATCCTTAATAGAACCATGGCTTTTCTCATTTCAGAAAACCGCAAGCTTAACGTGTATAACCAAGAAGATGGTTCAGTACTTCTGACTTGTCATGTGAAAAACACAAATATCACATGGTTTAAAGAAGGGAAGATGATAGACATCCTAACTGCACATAAAAATAAATGGAATCTGGGAAGTAATACCAAGGACCCTCGAGGGGTGTATCAGTGTAAAGGATCAAAGGACAAGTCAAAAACACTCCAAGTGTATTACAGAAGTATGTAATCCCCTTTGGTCTGTTTGTCATGAAATTAATCAATATTTGCTGCTCTGGTGAGCTTTTTGTCTGGAGTGAAAGTGGAAATAGATCCTCAACAGTGAGATTATCGCCGGTTCTCTTAATTTCAGCTTGCCTCTTTTGAAATACTGTAAGATACTTCCCTCGCCCTATTTGAAAAAGCACAGCCAGTCCTGTAAAACTTTTTTACCTTTCGGTGGGCTCCATGCATTCGAGCAATTCAGCACCTTCTATAAACTGAGTTGAATGAAGGGGTTGGGGAGATAGGGGCAATCATGAGGTGAGCAGCAGTGAGGACTAGAGCACAGTGGAGCATGAAGAGCATCTAGTCTTTGTTCCACATACTCCATGGGCTTCCCCAGAAATCCTGGGGGACTGAGGAACATCAAGATGCATTGAGTTTTGGCGCAAGGACCTTCCCTTGCCCTGCCACCCACAAAGGAATAGCCTGCTGCCCTCCACAGGGGCATTATTGCTGATAGGCAGGAGAAAAAGATCCAGGAAAAACAACTTTCACACCCTGAAGGTTTGTCTCTCCTTTTCCCCACAGTGTGTCAGAACTGCATTGAACTAAATGCAGCCACCATATTGGGCTTTGTCTTTGCTGAAATCGTCAGCATTTTCTTCCTTGCTGTTGGGGTCTACTTCATTGCTGGACAGGATGGAGTTCGCCAGTCAAGAGGTAAAAGAATGCTCTTGGCCGGGCACGGTGGCTCAAGCCTGTAATCCCAGCACTTTGGGAGGCCAAGAAGGGCGGATCACAAGGTCAGGAGATCGAGACCATCCTGGCTAACATGGTGAAACCCCGTCTCTACTAAAAAAATACAAAAAACTAGCCGGGCGTGGTGGTGGGAGCCTGTAGTCCCAGCTACTCGGGAGGCTGAGGCAGGAGAATGGTGTGAACCCGGGAGGTGGAGCTTCCAGTGAGCTGAGATCTGGCCACTGCACTCCAGCCTGGGTGACAGAGCAAGACTCCGTCTCAAAAAAAAAAAAAAAAAAAGAACGCTCTCAGATGAGAGATGGGACCACCTGAGACCCTCAGCTTTCCTCCTACCATTACGTACCCAATAGAAGAGACTGAGTTGGTGCCTCTTGCTAATGTGCATAGTTGGGTGAGGCTGTATTTCTTTGAGACAGGAGAAAAGGATACTTGGTGTTATCACAGCATGTTCACCTGTCTCAAGATACGACTCCCTCTGATTTATCCTCTGTGTTTAAAAAAAAAAAAAAAAAAAAACCGGCTGGGCACAGTGGCTCATGCCTGTAATCCCAACACTTTGGGAGGCCGAGGCGGGCAGATCATGAGGTCAGGAGATGGAGACCATCCTGGCTAACATGGTGAAACCCCATCTCTACTAAAAATACAAAAAATTAGCTGGGCATGGTGGTGGGTGCCTGTAGTCCCAGCTACTCGGGAGGCTGAGGCAGGAGAATGGCATGAACCCGGGAGGCGAAGCTTGCATGAGCCAAGATCGTGCCACTGCACTCCAGCCTGGGCAACAGAGCAAGACTCCGTCTCAAAAAAAAAAAAAAAAACTATTTTAAGTAAATCCTTACGTACAGAAAAGTGAATCACAAGCATACAGCTCAAAAAAAAAAAAAAATTCACAGAGCAAACACACCCATGCAGTCAGCACATAATTTAAACATAATTTAAGAAAGACAATATTACCAATGCCATGGAAGCCCTCCTGTGGTCACTTCCAGCCACTACCCATCCTCAAGAGTGAGCATTGTCCTGACTTCTAACAACAAGGATTAACTTTGCTTGTTTTTGTTCTTTATGTAAGTTGACTCATATACTAAGTATTCTTGTGAGTAGTTTCTTTCACTCAACAACTACTATGATTATGTGCTTTATCCATACTCTTGTGTGTATATAAAACTCTTACTGTTATTCAGTATTCTATTTTGTGAATATAACCCAATTTATTATGCATTCTACCTTGTGTGGATTCTGTTTCTTTTTTGTGCAGCTTCAGACAAGCAGACTCTGTTGCCCAATGACCAGCTCTACCAGGTAAGGGGATGAAGAATAAAAGAGACATTGCTGTAATTAGAGGGGGTCAATCTTTGGGATTGAGGGGCATGTTATTTGGAAGATCCTATACAGGTAAGAAACTGCTAACAGCATACCAGATGATGAGATCACCTTGGGTAGAATAGATGAACTAAAGAGAAGGATTGACAGAGACTGAGGTCAGGATCTAGTGAGCACCAGTTGAAGAACACACTGAGAGGGACACACAAAGAAACTCTTGACAGGCTGGGCACTCACTATAGACAGGCCATGGCTCACGCCTGTAATCCCAGTACTTTGGGAAGCCAAAACAGGCAAATCACCTGAGGTCAGGAATTCGACACAGGCCTGACCAACCTGACGAAACTCTGTCTCTACTAAAAAAAAAAAAAATTAACTGGGTGTGGTGGTGCACACTTGTAGTCCCAGCTACTCAGGAGGCTGAGGCAGGGGACCACTTGAACCCAGGAGGTCGAGGTTGCAGTGAGCTGTGGTTGCACCACTGCACTCCAGCATGGGCAACAGAGCAAGACTCCATCTCAAAAAAACAGAAAAAGAAAAAGAGGGCCGGGCGCGGTGGCTCAAGCCTGTAATCCCAGCACTTTGGGAGGCGGAGACGGGTGGATCACGAGGTCAGGAGATCGAGACCATCCTGGCTAACACAGTGAAACCCCGTCTCTACTAAATATTACAAAAAAAACTAGCCGGGCGAGGTGGCGGGTGCCTGTAGTCCCAGCTACTCGGGAGGCTGAGGCAGGAGAATGGCGTGAACCCGGGAGGCGGAGCTTGCAGTGAGCCGAGATCTGGCCACTGCACTCCAGCCTGGGCGACAGAGCAAGACTCCATCTCAAAAAAAAAAAAGAAAAGAAAAAAGAAAAAGAAAAGAAAAGAAAAAAGACAGAGCCTCCATCTCCTTTTCCTCTTTCCATCCTCAGGACCATGAAGTACTACCCACTCCAAACTCTCACATATAAAAAGCATTCAATAAACATGCATCAAATTAATTAATAGAGGATGGAAAAAATGACCTTATGACTGTGCTGTCCTTTCCAGCCCCTCAAGGATCGAGAAGATGACCAGTACAGTCACCTTCAAGGAAACCAGTTGAGGAGGAATTGAACTCAGGACTCAGAGTAGGTGGGTTCTTCAATGCCAGTTCTAATAAAGGACCCTTGCATCAACTGCCCTCCCAATTGCTTCTAAGTCTAGCTGCCTTCCCTAAGTGGCTATAAGGATCAGACTCTAGGGATCAGGGATTGGGAGGTGGTTTGGGGTACTCTTTTCTAAAAATTCTGGGGCCATACTGATTGTCTTGGCCTAGGAAAATATGAATTTTAAGTATCTGTAAATCCTGTCAGAGCAGGGCCTCAGGCCATAGAGATGCTGAATATTAATCTTAACCTACATTAAAATTTCTCATTATCTATACCATTAACATTTTGGGCTAATAATTATTTGTGATGAGGGGCTAACCTGTGCATTGTAGGAGTTATGGAAGCATCCCTGGCCTGTCTCCACCAGATGCTGGTAGATTGTCCAGTGTGACAATCAAAAATGTGTCCAGACGTTACCAAATGTGTCCAAACATCACCTTCGGGGCAAAATCACCCCTGGTTAACAACCACTAACCTATATTAACCTTCCAATCAACAAGTCAATCTGTCAGAAGTTACGATTCAATTAATCTATCTGAGGTTTCTATCAGGAAGACAGGGTTGAAAGCATTATTTGGTTTTTTTGAACCAATTGCAATTTTTCTTTTTTTAATCCAGGTGTTCTCCTTCTATTCAGTTCCCAGAATCAAAGCAATGCATTTTGGAAAGCTCCTAGCAGAGAGACTTTCAGCCCTAAATCTAGATTCAAGGTTCCCAGAGGTGACAAATGGAGAAGAAAGGCCATCAGAGCACATTTGGGGTTTTCTCAAATAAAATAAAAATAAAAACAAGTATGGTGTTTCAGTAGCGCCACCTATTGGAGAAAATTGTAAAAGAAAAATGAAAAGATCAAATAACCCCCTCGATTTGATATAATTTTTTGTGTTGTGATTTTTATTTCATTTTTGTATAGACCATAATTCACATGGCTCAAATATTCAGTGAAAGATCTCCCTCCACCACCATCCCCTGCGACCTAGTTGCCCTCTTCAGAGACATACTGTTTCTCTTTTTTTTTCTTTTTTTGAGACAGTCTTGCTCTGTCGCCCAGACTGAAGTGCAGTGGCACCATCTGGGCTCACTGCAATCTCTGCCTCCTGGGTTCAAGCGATTCTCCCGCCTCAGCCTCCCGGGCAGCTGGGATTACAGGCGCCACCACCACACCTGGCTAATTTTTGAATTTTTAGTAGAGCCAGGGTTTCGCTCTGTTGGCCAGGCTGGTCTGGAATTCCTGACCTCAAGTGATCCGCCGGCCTCGGCCTCCCGAAGTGCTGGGATTACAGGTGTGAGCCACCACGCCCGATCTTAAAACTAGCTCCTTATATATCTCTCTGGAGGTATTCTAGGCATATATGAGCACATCTCAAATACATACTGTCCTCCCTTCCCCTATCTTTTAGACAAATGATATCAAATTATACATCTTGTGAGATTATTGCATACCATTATATGAAGAACTGCTTTTTAATACAGCCATATTGTACAAATAGACTATGATTTATTTAACCCATTATCTATCAATGGATATTTAAGTTGGTTCCAATCTTTTGCTCTTACAACAATTCTGCAATGACTAACCTTGTGAAATATCATTTTTTAAAATAATTGCATTGAAGCATAATTTACATGCCATTAAATCCACCCGTCTTAAGTGATTTCACCTGTTCTCATAAAGTTTTAGTAAATTTAAGTAATTGTACAACCATTACCATAATCCGGCTTTAGGACATTTTCTTTTCATTCTTTTTTTTTTTTTTTTTGAGATGGAGTCTTGCTCGGTGGCCCAGGCTGGAGTGCAGTGGTGCGATCTCAGCTCACTGCAACCTCCACCTCCCAGGTTCAAGCAATTCTCTTGCCTCAGCCTCCCCAGTAGCTGAGACTACAGGCACGCGCCACCAGGCCCGGCTCATTTTTTGGTGTATTTAGTAGAGACAGGGTTTCACCATGTTGGCCAGGCTGGTCTCGAATTCCTGACCTCAAATGATCTGCCTCCCTTGGCCTCCCAAAGTGCTGGGATTACAGGTGTGAGCCACCGGGCCAGGCCCGTAACTGTATTTTAATACAGCCATTCTATGGGTTTAATATGGTATTTTATTATGGTCTTAATTTGCATTTCCCTAGAGACTAACCATGCTGAGTATTCTTTCATGTGTTTATTAACCATTCATATATTTTTAGTTAAATGTCTATTCAAATCTTTTGCCCATTTTTAAGTTGGCTTATTTGTCTTCTTTTTTTTGCATATATTTTTGATATAAGTCCTTTATCAGATATATGATTTGGAAATATTTTCTACCAATCTATGGTTTATTTTTCTTAATGGTGTCTTTTGAAGAGCAAAAGGTTTGAATTTTGAAGTACATTTTATCGATTTTTTTCTTCTATATATTGTGCTTTTGGTATCATCTCTAATAAATCTTTACCAAACCAACAGTTACAAATATTTTCTCCTGTCTTCTTTTTATACTTTTTACAGTTTTACAGTTTTAGCTCTAACAATAAATGTCATTTTGAATACACATAAGTCTATTTGTAACAAATACAAATAAATTGAATTGTTGGACACTTGTATTTGCATTTTTAATTTTATTATCTATTGCCAAATTTCACTTCATAGCAGTTGTAAACACACAACACACATACACACAAGTATATATATATGACACAAGTGTGTATATATACACACATATATGACAAGGTCTTGCTCTGTTGCTCAGGCTGGAGTGCAGTGGCATGACATTGGCTCACTGCAGCCTCAACTGCCCAGGCTCAAGCAATTTTCCTACTTCAGACTCCTGAGTAGCTAAGATTTCAGGTGTGTGCCACTATATCCAGCTAATTGTTTAATTTTTTTTTATATAGAGACAGGGTCTCACTATGTTGCTCAAGCCAGTCTCAAATTCTTGGGGCCAAGTGATCCTCCCACCTCACCCTCCCAAAGTGCTGGGATTACAGGTGTGAGCTACTGTGCCCAGCCAGGTTGTACCAATATATAACACCAATAACAATAAACAAAAGTGCCTGTTATTCCACACATGTTCCAACAGTGTATTATTAACCTTTTGAATCATGCCAACCTGAATGGCCTCTCACTATAATTTTAGTTTACATTTTTCTTATTAAAAATTGGAGGCTGGGCATGGTGGCTCACACCTGTAATCCCAGCACTTTGGGAGGCCAAGGCGGGCGGATCACCTGAGGCCAGTAGTTCGAGACCAGCCTAGCCAACATGGCGAAACCCTGTCTCTACTAAAAATACAAAAAATAAGCTGGGTGTGGTGGTGGGTACCTGTAATCCCAGCTACGCAGGAGGCTGAGGCAGGAGAATTGTTTGAACCTGGGAGGTGGAGGCTGCAGTGAGCCAAGATTGCACCATTTGCACTCTAGCCTGTGCAACAAGAGTGAAACCCCGTCTCAAAAAAAAACTAGAGTAAACCATTTGTTTTTCCTTCTCATGATATGTAAGTTCACATCTTTGGTCCTTTTCTTACTGACTTACACTAACCCCTTACATATTTGGGACTAGGTCTTTTGTGATATTAGTTGCAAGTCTTTTTCCAACTTTATGTATTTTTTAACTTTGCTTATGGTTAGTTTTTCATGCACACTTTATAAATATTTGCATGTAGTAGAATTCACTGGTCTCTTATGACCTCTAGTTATGTTTCATATTTAGAAAGTCTTCCTCCATTTTAAAATTATCCTTTTTTAAAAGTTCCCCCATGAATTCCTCTAGCATTTTTATGGTTTTATTTTATGCATTTACATCTTTGACCCATCTTGAATTGATGTTAGCATCAGATCTAATGTAGTAACCAACTTTAAATACAGATAGTTACCCAGTTATTCCAGCAATATTATTGAATGATTCATCTTATGTCCATTAATTTTAAATGCTGTTACAACCCAACTTACCAGATTATAAGCTCCAAGAAGGAAAAGACTTATATTTTTTCACTACGGTATCTTTAGGAACTAGAACAGTGGTAGGCACATTAAGACTGCCCAGGGCTTTTTGTGTGTGTGTGGTAAAAGATATATAACCTAAAATTTACCATTTTAATCTTTTTCTTTTTCTTCTTCTTCTTTTTTTTTTTTTTTTTTTTTTTTTTTGAGACAGAGTCTCACTCTGTCATCCAGGCACTCTAGTACAGTGGCATGATCTCGGTTCACTGCAACCTCTGCCTCCCAAGTTCAAGTGATTCTCCTGCCTCAGCCTCCCAAGTAGCTGAGATTACAGGCACACATCAACACACTCAGCTAATTTTTGTATTTTTAGTAGAGACAGGGTTTCACTATGTTGGTCAGGCTGGTCTCGAACTCCTGACTTCAAGTGATCTCCCCACCTTGGCTTCCCATAGTGCTGGAATTACAGGCATGAGCCACTGCACCCAACCCCATTTTAACTATTTTTAAGTGTACCATTCAATGGTATTAAATATATCCACAATGTGTAGCCATCATCACTACCCATTTCAGAACTTTTTCATCATCCTAAACAGAAACTTGGTACCCATTAGACAATAACTCACATTCCCCTCTCCCTCCAATCCCTGGTGACCTCTATTATACTTTCTCTCTCAAGAAACGTGCCTATTCTGGGTACCACATATAAATTGAATCAAACAGTATTTAGTCCTTTCTGTCTGGCTCATTTCACTTAGCATAATGTTTTCAAGGTTCATCAGTGTTTCAGCATGTATCAGAACTTCATTCTTTTTCAAGGCTGAATAAGTCATCTGTAGCTATATACCATATTTTGTTTATGCATTCGTCTGTTGATGGACATTCTGGGTTGTTTCCACCTTTTGGTTATTATGAATAATGCTACTGTAAACATAGGTATACAACTATGTAAGTTTCTGCTTTCAGTTATTTTGAACATCTATGTCAAAGCGGAATTGCTTGATCACATGGTTATACTATGTTTAACTTTTTGAGGAATCATCAAACTGTTTTTCCAAAAAGTCTGGACTATTTAACATTGCCATGAGCCATGCATAGGGTTTCAATTTCTCCACATCTGCCAACCATTACTTTCCTTTTTTTATATATAATAGCCATCCTAGTAGGTATTAAGTTTTATTCTCATTTCCCTAAAGACGAGCGATGTTGAGCACTCTTTCATATGCTTATCCACAATTTGTACAGTTGGCCTTCCATATCTGTGGACTCCATCTATGGATTCAACCAACCATGAATTGGAAATATTCCAAAACAAATTTCATCTGTACTGAACATGTACAGACTTTTTGTCATTATTCCCTAAACAATACAATACAACACTACTTAGATTTACATTGTATTAGGTATTATAAGTGATCTAGAGATGACTTAGTCATCTCTAGGATGACACAGGAGGATGTGCATAGTTTATATGCAAATACTGCATCATTTTGTATCAGGAACTTGACCATCCATGGATTTTGGTACCCAGGGGGTCCTGAAACAAATCCCCCACAGATACCAAGTGGATAGTTATTCTCTTGGAACGTATCTTCTTTGGAGAAATGTCTATTCAAGTCCTTTGCCCTTTTTTGAACTGAACTGTTTGGGGTTTTTTTGTTCTTGTAGTTCTTTATATATTTTAGATATTAATCCTTTATCAGATATATGAATTGCAACTATTTTCTCTCATTCTGTGAATTTTCACTTGCACAGCGCTTTTAACTCTTGAAAATTATTTCCTTTATTATTTTTGTGTATCCTGATCTCTTGCCCTCGTGATCCGCCCGTCTCGGCCTCCCAAAGTGCTGGGATTACAGGCGTGAGCCACTGTGCCCGGCCATTT